ACCTCTAACCCTTGTAGTACACACAGTAGGATGAAGATGGATCTTACCAATTCAAAAAAAGATAATCACATTGTTTCAAAAAACAAAAACCAAAAACCAAAACCATGTTAGTGTTATTTTCATCTACTTTATATGTCTTCAAATTTGGAAACTAACTTCTGGACCTTTATGAACTACAACGAATATTAAGAAATGAATTATTTCTTTAAAAAAAAAAGTTTTCAAATGAGGACTACAAAATGCCACAATGGAGTAGGATCAGTATTTTTTTCTTTCTTCTTCTTTGGTTATCATGTATAACTCTTGAGGGTAAGTTTACCATCTCTGAGAACCTATTTTTAAAAATACTAATTTTCATTAAAAATTCTTAAAATGGTAATGTAATATTTCTAAATAAGAGTAAAACTAAGTTTATTCACACCCAATATTACTTTCAAGTATTTTGAGAATCTTCAGTGTTCAACTTCTTAAAAGAATTAACCTATATGACCACATGGTAATCATTTTAAGACATCATGTTTCCCCCCTAAATATGGGATAGCAATACTTTTTTTAAAAAGCCAAATACTATAAGAGAGAAAAGGCATTAATTATATTTTAAAATATATGTTCTAGGGTTTTAATTGCCTAAACTATATTTTGACAGGGATTCCTTTGGACCCAAAGTAAATTAAAGTTATTACCTTGATGAAGGATGGGAAGGGAAAAAAGAATATGTAGTATCTACTCTATGCTGGCTAGGTACTGTGATTGGAGCTTTTACAAACATTACAAGTATCATCTGATCTGCTACTAAAAAAAAGTTAAGAGGCTTTAATGCTATTAAATATATGCACAAAGGCTGAGTACATAATAGTCTATAAGAACTTAAGTTTACTTCTTGAGCTGTTTTTCCCAATGAGGCTAATTCAAAGGCTCCTACAGACGATGCCTTACAAGAAAGAAATGATTACTGATTGCCTCCTGTACACTACAATAAATGCAAGTTAAGCTCTTTAGAAAATTATTTATTCCTATGGAAAAAAACTATTCTTAACAAAGAGTCAATAAATGTCTTTTTGGAGTACTTACAATGGTACTGAAGCTCTTATCTACAAGCAAACTGACTCAATACTATCATGTAAATGAGCTCTCATAATTTCACTATGAAGAAATAAGACAACTACAAATATGTAAGATTAATACTTTTTTGTTAACATAATTTCACTGTAATGCATATATATTCAAGTTCCAAATATTTAGGAAGAAAATTGTGATGTCTCAAATACTACCAGTGCTATTATATTGTCTTTTATTTGATAATTCCTCTTTATTGAAATTACATTTTATAATTATTCCTATTCAAGACTCATGTAACTCAAACCCATGCCTAGACACAAAGGTCATACAGAGCTTCTACCTAGAGGAGTGTTCACTTTATAAAAGGGCAGGTTAAAACAAAACTTATAGCTTAATTCTAGAGAAGTTAAAAATCAAATAAAGACTCAGAGAACAGGGAATTAACTACGGAGTGTATGAAAGGCAATGTTATAATCCATCACTAAACTAAGAAAAGGGAAGCTGAGAATTGTACTAGGGCAGAATGGGTAATCTGACTCACCTTCAAAGAAACTGGAAAGCATAGATAATAACATTTAATCAAAATTAGCTATCAATAACAAAATCCATTTCGTTGATAATTATAATTAAGAATTCTGTCTAGGGGCAGCTAGGTGGCGCAGTGGACAGAGCACCGGCCCTGACATCAGGAGGACCTGAGTTCAAATCCAGCCTCAGAACAAACACTTGACACTTACTAGCTGTGTGACCCTGGGCAAGTCACTTAACCCCAATTGCCCCCCCAAAAAAATTGTCTACATAAAATTTTACGAGAGAGAGAGAGATTGAGAGAGCTCTTTATTCATATGGGGAAGATGAAAATATTTTCGGATGTCGTCCTCACTTAAATAGATTGACCATGCCTAATCAATGCAATAAAAAATCCAGATTCAAATTGCAATTAGAAATACTTAAGATATCTTCACTTAACATTTACTAATTTTAAGCTAAAGTGAATTATGACTGCCTTTGGCACAGATGTTTTAAGTTTACCTAGTAATTTAAATCAAATTCCCAAATTTTCCCTTTTTAATACTGAAGTTGCTAATTCTACCTCAGCTGTAATTAAAACTAATCTTAATAAATACATATAGAAGACCATCTTAGTATATAGATTTTATTCACTCAAAATGATCAAGTGTCAAAAATTCTTGCCATATTGTCATATTATTATATCATATTATTATATGACAGTTATTATTGCACCTGAAAAAGAGAAAACAAGAACCACTGAGGGGTATAAAAGAGGGAGGAGAAACAAGACAATGGTGCTTGACAGGAGGAAAAGTAAGATTTCATATAAAGTATCACAAATATTAAACTCCATTTACCTTTTTTATCAACTGAATATATTTTTTCCTATTAAAAAACACTAGAAGTATATCTCAAAATGAGGTATATTATTTTATTATCTAATTATCAGAGTTAGAAATTATACAAACTATCTTCTCTTGTTAATTACCTAAAATAATTTTTAAGAAAAAAAATTTAGTGCTCTCCTGAAATTTGCAATAAAATAGCTGGCCTAGGGGTACAGAATATATGATAATCTTTCCAAATAGAAGAATAAAAACTTTCAATTAAATGATGTACATCTGTCATGAGAACATGAATCCAGACAGAAATGAATCTACATGACATGATAAGATGTAACCATTGTATTTCAGTGTAGCAAAATTCTTTAAAACTAAAATCGTTTTAATGGGTATTATCTCATTTGGATTCAAGCTATTTCTTTGATACAGTGGATAGATATGATGTCCATTTTGTGAAGTTAGTAAACCAAAGCTAACTCAACCATTCTGATAACCTATGCTACCACTGAGGGGGCCACTAAAATGTTCTTCTGATGCCAGTCACCATAAATGAGATTCTGCATTCTCCAGGGAGTGCCAACAAAAAGAAGAGACCTCAAGGAAGTGCTAACAAGTAGAAAGGGATAGGCCATACAACAAACTCAATTGTGTTACAAATAAGTCTGCCAAAATTGGAAGAGACTCCTCACTATAAGATTGGACTAAAGTGATGGATCTGCCCACAAAAGAAGGTAGGAAGAGTCTCACAAATCTGTCAGCAGAAACAGTATTAGACACAGGGTAATTCATGAAAAATCATGGACAAAACTATCATACTGTTTTTTTTCCCTACTCATTGTTCCAGAGATATAAAATGTTTTTGGTTTTATTTACTATGAGTTTCAGTTGTTTTTAAAGAAACTAATACTTTGGGAAATGTAATAAACAAGTAACTTTAAAACCCATAATATATTTTACATATTTAAGAACTCCCTTTTTTTATCGAAACTACATGACATGAAAAAAAATTACTCCCTTGTGTGACCCTCAGAAAAGGCATCTAAACCCCTCTGGCTGTTTCTTCATCTGTAAAACACAGATAATATTCCCCACTTCTGCTTTGTAAGACTGTTGCGAAATATGTAAGTGGCTCTATAAACCTGAAAATACAATATAATCATAATCTGCTATTACCACATACAAAGTGGCTAAGCAAATAAAATCACCCATGTTTAGGTGACAGCATAGCTCAGAGTTAGAGATAATCACAGAGAAGACGATGATGTAACTGAAGTATGTGTGTTGTAGTAACTTTGTCTAACAATATAAAACCACCTGGTAGCAGAGGCTAGACACAGTGAGTTGAATACATAATCTTAATACAAACTCCTTAAGTTCATCCATGTTTTCAGTTATACTGAAAGAACTAAAATCAAAATTAACTAAAAAATTATATGAAATAAAATGTATGTATTTGACAGATAGTAGAATACTTAAATCTAAACATAAAAATTAGCTTGATGAATTAACAATGATACACACACACACACACACACCCTCAGTTATAAAATGAAAACAAAACCAATCTTGCAATAGTATTCAAACATTTCCTCGTATCTCATGCAGGGATGAAAACATAAACCATAATATGCAGATAGTATCATTTTAAACAGATGCCTTGATATAAATTCATATAAATCAAATTACTGTTTTAATTGTACTAGGACCTACAAATCTAGAAAGGGGGTTTTCTGAAAGTGAATAATCCCACCCTGCTTTATCTGTAATGGAAATTGATACTATGTTATATCCCATTTCCTATACTATTCTATAAATACTTTAGAGAGACAATGAATTTTACCATTTTTGGCTATTTCAAGGATCAATGATTACATTTCAGGAAATTTTAACACACAGCCCTAAGACACATATATTACAACCACCCCATGGCTCTCCAAATTGCTACACTTAAAAACTACTTGCACTTTGTCTACCTGACCACTCAGCTTCAGGCATTTTTAATTTCCACACAAACATCTGCAACACTCTCACTCATCAACTGCATTCTTTCCAATCTATGTGTTATTTAGTCACAATGGAATAGACACAAGGTCAACCCAGACGTTCCTTGTGTAACTGGCTACTGTTGATCATAATAATAATTAAGCACATTTCAGGCTCTTCATATAGATATCAGACAAAATTTACACCTTCATTACAGATATGATTTTGAACTAAATGTGAAAGGAAACTTTAAAGGACAGTTTAAGAGGAAATATACTGTACAAACAGCAGAGCCCTTATTAAAGTAGCCACTGATGTTAATTACTATTTCTGGGGAACTCATCTAAGAAAAGTCCCACTTATGAAAAATTTAGCAACATTCTGATGCTGTAGGCAAGCAGTTAATGGGAACTGAATCTGCAAGGTTTCTGTTACCAGTATCAACATGTTCACTTCTTCTCATTTCTGGGAAAATGAATTATTAAAGTCTAAAAAGCTGATCACCCTTCATTTTTAAAAAATTATATTTACACACACAAAAACGATTTTAATGTCAAAAGTAACAAACAACACAGGAAACATTTTTTCCACCTAAAATAAAAGTGAGAAGAATGGATGTATGTTTATTTTGACCACATTAATTATTACAAAATGTAAAAAAGCTGAATATTTCAAACTTTAGAACACAACTATTACAAACTATACAAAGAAAAAAACTGCCAAACTATGCCAAAATTTGATTTATATCTCCTTTAGTTAAGTAGGAAGGAATGTTGGCAGCAGATAACAAATTCAAGTGACACCTTAGGTAAGTTAACATTGCTAAATTTTCTATTTCTATACTATCACTTCTTGCAACTAAAAGACAAAGGCAGACAAAATAAGTCCTTAATTCCACACATTTTACTAATTCAGGAAGAAGACAAAAATTTAACAATAAAGTTATTCAATTATACAAGGAGGTGGGTAATGATTCTAAAAATGCATAAACTAAAAGTTCATGGGTGCTCCACTGGACTGGCACTCAGAAGCAGACTGTCCCCAGGATAAACTTGGTAAGTACTGAAGAAGGACTTTCTCCGTGAAGGGCCACAGGCTGTGAAGAACTTTACTCCGGAAGCCACACTTGAGCCCAGACATTATGATGTTCAGGAGATGTAACACCCACTTTTTGCATTGGCTTTCAAATGTTCTTGATCAAATCACACAGAATGAATGGCATCCAGGCTGACCTGGTATTTAATAGCCAAGAACAGAATTTCACCCCACCCTATTTCAGGTTTGTAATAAAATAAGACACTCACAAAATCACTTACTATATAACAAACACATGCAAACGATAAGGTGTGTTTAGCTGCAAGGGTATTATGATAATTAAGACAAAGCTTTAAAAAAAAATTTCTAAAGTAAGTAACTGCCCTTTCTTCACACCTAGAGAAAGTAACCCAAACGGTAGTAAAACATAGTTGGCTAGTTATCACTTATATTTCTTACCCATCTATTGTGTTCAAATAATTGCCTAAGACAAGTGTGCGCAGACATACTAGTGCACACTTTCAAAAAAAAAAGTTTAACTACAAAACAGTGACTGAATATTAAAATTAAGAAAAAGAACCATGACATTTTGTAACTACTAAGAAAAACTTAGAGCACAGGAGCAGTAGATCTCAAATTTATCTTTTTTGACTAACTACATTAAAAAATAGAAGCTGGTAGACTTCTGAAAAGTCTGCTTAAAGTTTAAATCATATAAAGGATTAAATGGAAGAAATCATTCCATTTTTAAAACTGCTATAGAGGGTGGCTCAAAATGCTTAAGTTTTGATAGATTAAAATCACATTAAGATTTCTGGGCCATCCTATACACTGACATAATATTGCAAATACCATGAAATAAAAGCCAATAGGTAATGGGTTAGATTTTCTTCTTATAATTTGTTAGTCCCAAAACTTAATTTTTTTCCAAAAATTAAAAAAATCATTCTGAAACACACTGAAAAATTGTTTCATAAGCAACTACTTAAGGAGTTGTAAACTTATTGTTTTAAGTAAATATTTAAATTTAAAATGAAAGCAATATTTTGTAATAGAACAGGCTTTTGTAAATCTGATTTCAAAATTGAAAATGATCTAAATGGCAAAATGACATAAGAGCTGACCATTTCCCAAGTATGTTTGAAGGTATTCGTAGATGGTAAGATCATTTATCATGACAGTACAATATTAAAGTACTGGATACCATTATTTAAGAACCTGATGGTCTTGAAAACAAAATGCTCAAAATCAAATGTTTTCAGTACCTACTATTACCAAAAAAAAAAGGACATAAATCAAATTATGATCTATAAACAAACAGTTCGATCTAATCAAAGATCTAGTTGAAATTTTTCATAGCAAACCCTGAAACTACACCCATTTTAACCTCTCCCATTCCTGGACAAAGCCAAACCTTTGGGGGAGGGGGGCGCACGCGAGGAGAGGGGTGGTGGTGAAATTGCTACATTTGCTATGTACACAATTTGTTTGTAACAAATGCTGAAGTGTTGATATTGACATAACAAAATTAATTATTACAGGTCCAAATATATTTTCTAGATCAAAACTAAATTTATATTAGCAAAGGAGATTTGCATTCAAGCAGCTTTAGCCAAGAACCAAAGTATTTATTTGGAAAATTGAACACATGACAAAGATTTTCTTGATATTTCTGGTCTATTCTAGCTATTAAACCATAGACAGCATAACCTTCATTTTACAGAACATTAATGGTTTGTACAAAGGTATACTTCTTCAAGATGTTGCACTATCTTTCAACCCCTTAATACATCAGGTATTAACCACATACTTTGCAAAGTCCAGTGCTACTTTCTAGTTTACAACTAAAAAGCATGGAATCTTCTTGCTTTTTGAATAGCTGGCATTACTGAGTTAAAGCAACCAAAATGTTATTAGTACAGCCAAGTTTGGTAATATTTTAAAGGAGCATACTACTACTAATATTTCAAATTATTCAAAGTGATTTCTTTATTGAGATCAAGTATCTGCACAAGTTTTACAGTACGATCGCATGTTTATATTTAGCTAAAGTCACAAACACATTTGACTTTCACAATGATGAGCATCATCATTTCCACTCTAGACTACAAAGCTTATGTACGACTAAAGAAAAAAAATACAAAAACTTCAGGTTTTACAAAAGAAACTTTGAAAAGACTATATTAACAATAAAACCATTTTTTTCAGAAAATTATAAAGGCATACCACTAAATTTTCTTCTCTCTAAATTGCAAGGACTGAAAGATTCTTTAGTATCTGCGACGTTTATTAGGTCCTTCAAAGTTTCCCCCTTGGCTTCCTCTACCAAAGCCACCAGGACCACCACTCACAGGACCTACACCACTCATTGGGGTCTGAGGGGTTTCAGTGCCTGTTCTACTGCCCATAGGTGAACCCATCTGAGATGGTGGTCCTTGGGAAAATCTATCATTATGCTATTGTACCACATAATAAACATTAAGTCCATTTAGAATACAATAAACATTAAAAGTATGAGAAAATTATCAAAATCCCAAGTGGTGGTGTCATGAAGTTCAGCAGAAAGTCCAGCAGAATCAGGATCACACATAGAAGGAAGAAAGGAGCATTTTAATTAGTCACTATGCAAAAGGCAGCTGAAGAATTACACATTGCTAATGCTTTGCCCCAATTTCATTAAACAGAGGAAAATTAATCTTTATGATGCATGGTATACTAACTTCATATGGAAAATAATTTCCTTCAAAAAGGGCTTATGAGGCATTCTCTTAATACAAGAGAAATCTTTATTTTTGAAAATCAACAGAAAAATGAAATACTCTATCAATAAATGGTCAAAAATACTTCATTAACATAGTCTATTTAAGCAAAAAATATTTCAAATACCCTATGTAACATAATAAACAGTAAAGTCAAAAGCATATGGCATTTCTCAAAGATTACTGAAAAATTCATTGGACAAAAATACCTAGTAGTAGTATCTACACTAAAATCTGTTGCACATGCTTTCACATTTCAATTTTTAAAAAAATCAGCATACAACACATTAAAAACACTAATGCTGGCAAGTATAGTCTTGAATACTACCCTTCCCTGGATTTAAAAAAAAAAAAAGATTTAAGGAGACCAAGCCAATTTAAGACTTAGAATTAAAAGCTGTCCAACTGAAGAAAACAAAAACAAAAAACAAACTTAAAAATGGCTTTTAGACTACTGAATACAACACTTAATACCTACAGTCCTGGGAAGTTCACTCAACACATCAATTATGTTTCATTATACAGAGGCATCATAGTACAACGGAAAGACTGGACTAGGAGGCAGGAACAACTGGGGTCAAACTCTGCCTCAGATACTTAAAAATTATCTGAGGCAGCAAGGTGGTGTAATAGATAGAGTGCTAGATCTACACATTAGAAAGACCTGAGCTCAATTTCAGCCACTTACTAGCTGTATGAACCTGGGCAAATACTTAACCTTTATTTGCCTCAGATTCTTCAACTATAAAACGTGAATAATAACAGCACCTACCTCAAAGAGTTGTTGTGAGGATGGAATGAGAAAATATCTGAAAAGTGCTTCAGCAAAGTGCTTGACACTTATGTGCTTTAAAAAAAAATTATGTGACCTTAGGTAAGTCACTTAACATCTCTCAGCCTCTGTTTCCTCAACTATAAAATAGGAGTAATAAGAGTACCTCTACCTCAAACGAGATGATGTCTGTAATGTGCTTTGCAAACTTTAAAGCACCATAAAAATACTAGCTATTATTGCTGTAATCCATCACAACTTAAATGCATAAATTACAAAAAAAAAACCCAAAGTATTATAATATGCACTGCATCTTCATAAGAATATACAGAGCACTGTTAATCCTGCAAAAACTGATGCTTTTGAATGGTTCCTATTTTGGCAAAGAATAATCTTTATTTTGTCTTGATAAGAACTATACCATTTCAGAAAGTCTACAAGCACACCCTAACTAATCCTCTTCATGCAAATTTCACTTATCAAATACATGTTTTATACCTATAAAACTGATCTAGAATAAACTAAAACCACCAAATCAATTCTCTAAAAAAAAAAAGTTTTTTAATTATGCATATTCTGGTACTATTCTGAACATGTAATAAAAATGGCAGCAAATGAAATTAAAATTTAAAAATATTTTAGCCCACCCAAAGATATCTTCACACTCTAATGCTTGAAAACATTAAAATCATATTCTTTAAAATTTATTCAAATATAATTAAGAGTAAGAAATGCAGCAATAATAACGTACAAACTACATGTCCAAGTAAAAAACAAACACTTCATTCATACTGTAATTTGAATACAAAAAGTTATTCTAAATATTCTTTTTGATTGTGAGAATCTTCACAAGACTTAATTCAAACATATTTTTTTGGTCCCACAACAAAAGTAAAGGCTATTTGTTGACACATTAATAAAAATATGGTCAAGTAAAGCTCTTAAAATACTTGTCCATTACTTTTTTATATAATGCAAAATGTTTTGAATTTGAGTAAAAGGCACCATTGTATATACAGTGAAATGTAAAGGTAATATGGTAATTTTAGTCGTGTTCATTACTACACAAGTAATATGCACATGCACAATACCATAGCAACAATAAAAGAGCACCTATTAGAATGCTTTTTTAACAGTACTGAAATATCTAACATTCTAAAACCATTTTGACAAATTTGCCTGTCAAAAAAAAAAAAAAAGATGCCAAATCATGCTAAGTGTGAAGTTATCTTTGGTGCAGAAGTGTATCATGATATAGCTGAATAGAGTTAAAATAAGTTTTATGATACATTACCACTGCTCCATTATCTGGCATCATTGGAGTTCCCATATTTGCAGCTCCTTCTGGTCCCAAGGCAGGACCAGGACCCAGAGGTGGGCCAGGTATAGTTCCTCTGTTGTTCATATTCATACCCATCATTGGAGGAGGACCTTGGTTACCAGCAGGTGCTGGGCTAAACGCATCTATGCAAAACAATCTATACTTAGAGCTGTCCTATCTTAGATTTAACATGCATTTAAAATATTTAAGAGATCTACAAATTGAAATTTTTTAATTGATCAAAACCATTTTTCTTCAGAGGTTTGAAGTTTAGCTCAATTATTTGCTCTGAAATGGATTTTTTCCCCTCAATTATTGCCTCCAATGTAAAGAAAGCAAATCAAGCATCAAATTTATTGAAAACTAAAATGCAGTGCAGCAAAAAGAAACTTCCTTATTTGAACAACAGTAAACAGAATTACATCACGTAACTTTCCCCAATTTAATAAATTCCCTACCACTAAGATGAACATAATTTTCTAACAACAGTTAAGGAAGTTGAGTAATAGCAAAATGATATCACGTATCTGCTTTATACATCTTATATACTATAAAGGAAATATATATTTAGAGATATAACAATGGAGGCAAATTAGTGGGAAAAAATTCCCATTACTTTTCTAAGATATCTAGCAGACAAAACAAATTTCTGACTAGAAAGTACAAAAAATACTATTTTTATGCAATTACATAATATTATTAGAAAACAATCTTTAAGTACAGCCACACCAAAGCTCAAAAATAACAAGTGATTTTTGTGAATGATATGAGGAAAACATACTATATCCTACATAAAACTTAACAAAAATTTTGACAGAATTTCAGGCGAGTTTCTAAATTTAAATAAGCTACAAAAAAATACAAATTATATATTAATATAACTAACTCATCAAAGGGCCCATTTTTGCAAACTCTCTTATTTTCATGGAATCCAAGATAGCACATATTACTAGCAATGTGTTAAAAGCTGGGGCTTGCAATTTTTATATTACATAGTTATTGCCATCATAATAGACTATCACTGAATTTAAACCATAAGTGGGGTATAATAACTATACCCCACAACTGTAAGTACAAGGACTACATACAGATATAATATTCTGTTTATTATCCTTTCCTTTTACAAAATGTATAAATCAAGAGACTTCTATTAAATACTGACAATATAGGCAGTTCCCAACTTACAGGTAATGGTCTATTAGTAAATCAAATAATACTGACATACACTCTTCCTTTATGAATAGTGGTAAAGAGGGACAGCTAGGTGGCACAGTGCATAGAGCACTGGCCCTGGATTCAGAAGGACCTGAGTTCAAATCCAGCCTCAGACACATAATACTTACTAGCTGTGTGACCTAGGGCAAGTCACTTAATTCTCACAGCCCAACCCCACCCCCCAAAAAGAAATAGTGGTAAAGAAGTTTTCAGGCTAAATCCTCCAAAATAACCTGTTAAAGTCCCCATGGAATTGATAAAAATTACAATATTAATCTTAATTGTGGGTCCTACTTTTAGTATGAAAGAATTTTTCTCATTCCTAGACCTATCAAAATATTCCATGTTTCAAAATTACTTACCTTCCCCTTCTTCCCTAGAGATCTGTGATAATAGCAATCTGAACTAATTTATAGATTTATAATCTGAAAGACTGTAGCCATTGTCCTATTATCCTAACTAGAGGCACTGTCATTTGAAAAATATAATGGCTAACCCAAATGAAGCATTAGAAATATTTCAGGCAATGGAAAGCAAATGAAAAACTAAAAACTCAGAAAACATGACTGAAACCTGAGATAGGGATCAGATCAATTCCACCTAAATTATTTCTGCTTTCCTCAGCTTTTTCACTCAACTCTACTTGGGGGCACAAAGATTCTTTAAAGCACACAATCATTTTCATTACAGGTCAAATGACACAGTATCATGGTCTCCTAAAGCATTAGGAAGGATGAGGTTATACATTCTGGATAAGTTATTCTAACTTACAAGTAAGTTAGGGACTGCCTATATTTTAATTCTAAACAGAATAGTACTGAAAAATTTAATAAATCAGACTCTCCTTTCTGTTAATAAAGATCAGTCTCCTACGTGGTATTTAAGAAATGGAAGAAGTCAAAGAATCCTATCTCCATCTTCAGCAAATACATTATTTTACCCTGTGGAACTAAAGCACACACACACACACACACACACACACACACACACACACACACCCAAAAAACCCACAAAGTCCTTTATAGAAGTGAGCCCAATATTTTATATCACCTAGTTAATGAATCAAATTCAATCTGATTCAAAACTCCATTTGAAGTAATAGTATGTTACTATATTAAAGATGAAAGATTGATTAAAAAGTAGTCCGGAGTCGCATCTCTAGCAGACACAACCAGTCAGAAAGGAAGGTTCCTTAACAAGGAACTAATATGAAACCTAACTAGCAATTCATATTGTCTAAACTGGCCATCTAAATTGAATTCTAGAAACTCCTATGTCAAATTTACTAGATATTTTACTACTGTCCTTCCATTAATCATGTTAACCTAGTCAATGCAAATGGGCTATAATACAGGAGCCCCTCAGAGCGTTAAGAGAGGCATTTACTTACAAACTGAAAAATCTAAATTTTAATATCGAAGAATAAAGGTTTTCTGGAAAAGATCTTAGAATTTTTGTGCTCTCGTTTATCCAAGTATTTTACAAAGTGTGCTATTCATCATTCCTTCTGAAAACAATTTCAAGCAAATAAAATCTTCACTATTTCAGGGGCCTCTGAATTTTCCAAGGTTACCTCATGTTAAAAACTTGAATTTATAAAGCAATCTCATCTTGAGGTACTCCAGTCCATAAAGATCTCTCTTAACTAATTTTGAAATTAGCCTCCATTTCAAAATTAATCTTATTGTATTATGCCAACTGTAAAACACAATTTTTTGTCATTGTATATTCTTCTTCCTCTCAAGCTCTAACTGGAAAATAAAGTTCCCCAAGGGAAGGGTCCAATAATAGGTTTTCAATTAACTCTGGACGACAGATTTTTAATAAGTAATGGCAATAGTGTTATGATACAAGAGTACTTAGATTCAAAAAGAAGCAACAAGGTAATTCTCCAATTACTCTAAATTTGATTGAATTTGAAATTGAATGAATTTACAAATTCTCAGAAGGGTCACGGGTAAGACCTGCTGGTCCCAACAGAAAAGATCAAACAAAAGAGAGCTGAACGGAAGCCTATCTGAACCCCATCCCATAAACCATGGAAAGCTTAGCTAATGTTCCCAGAAAATATTTATGTAAATTTGTCATTTATAATTAATTTTTTTTTTTAGCAAAGTGTACATTCAACTTACTTGTTTCAGAAGGTTAGACGAAGTAAACTTTATGAAAATGAAAGCTTGTTAGAACTACTGACACACCCCCATACCCCCCCAAAACCCAAATCATTCATTGCTTTTAAATTTAAACAAAATGCATGGTTTCTTCTGGGCATATTACCTTAAAACATTTAACTGCAACTGACTGTTTAAGAAATACACCTGACTTCATTATCAACACAAAAGTACTGAATTCCATGAATGTATAAATTAGTCTGTCATTAAAAAGTAACCACCATAAATAACATATACAGTCCCAAAGAATTTTAAGTAAGTTACAGAAGGCTTTTGCTTCAAATCCCTACCTCCCATGTTTATTGCTCCACGGGGACCCAAATCACCCATTCTCATTTCCTGTTCTCTCTGTAAGTAAACATAGTTGTCAAGTCAACCTATCGTTCTTATGATTTTATATTCCCATCTAAAATAAAACAAAAGATTAAATTGGGACAGCATTTTCCATGATAAAAGTACAAAAATATTTGCAATCAATCACTATTAGAATCACTAAGTGAACCTAAAAAAAAAATGCCAAGATTTTAGTATACATTATTACAAATGCCAATATACTGTTCACACTACAAGAGTAATTTCATGAAAATGTCAACATCCTCAATTATTGTTCCTATTGATACAATGCTTACTTTTTCTTATCACTCCAAAACTTATTTCCTTCTCTCATACAATGCAAAAGCAACTATTACTTAGCAGTAGTTATTTCCATCCCCAGTCACAGAAGTAAAACTGGAAATATTTGGTTCCATGCTTAAATTCAAAAGTTGACACAGAATAAAAATTTCCTTTAAACACTAACTTTAAAACAAAATTCCTTAAAAATTTAAATGAAATAGGATTTATCCCTCAGCTTTACTTCAGCTATCTTTTTCAGCCAAGAAGAATGATTATGTTTTTTTCCTCTAGTAAACAGTCAAATGAATAATATTTTAAAATTGATTTTGAGGGTATTCCCCCCCCCCGCCACTGAGTTTTACTTGCAGAACTAAAATAATGTAGTCAGCCACAATAACATGGGAATCTGTAGGGGCTCAGCTACTGCAGAGCAAGTCACAGAAACATGTGATTAATTTTGAAAGGTACAAGACAGGTAGGTACCAGACAGAAAACCTTTCAATGGGAACACTAGATGTTCCCATAAGGAGGGAAGTAAGGAAGTGCCCAGCACAGCACCTTGTTGTGCTTTAACTTTGCTGGATCAACCTAGAAACGTGATAGGAACAAATCTTCCAGGGCACCCTTTCCTTTCAAAATATGCAGTGCAACTAACAACACTATTCATATACTGGCTAGCTTTGTCAGCTGAAAAACGCACAAAACCAGTGATGCTAAATTTGTGTCATTTATCTATTTAAAGAACAATTATCTACAAAGACCTTACATTTAGGTCATAAGATGGACATATAGATATCTATATCTATATTTTTTTGTACCTGTTCCTAAACGGGGCCAAAATACTTGAAAACCAGCCTCCATAAAGCAACCCTACAAAATTCCATTTCATATGACAAATGGCTTAAAACATCAGTTATGCACAGATGTTTATACATTTCCAGTGATGTACTACTGAGGAGCTACTGCATTTAGGATGCTCTAATTTCCAGACATTTTCTTACCATGAAAATACAAAGGTAATATATATCAAATAAATGCTCAATAAAGCCTAGCAGGGACTCCAACCAGGGCTATAATCTATTGGTAGGACAGCATGATTAATACATCACTTATTTAGCATCATAGAGGAAAATTATATTTAGACAGCCATCATTTTCCAACACTGTATAATAAAGTAATGAGCCCTTTAAGAAATATTTTAAATAATAATTTTCTTGAAGTATTTCGTTTCTAATTACTTCCTTTGGTACACTGAACAAAATTTAACATTTATTTCAAGATACAGTCATTATTAGTTGTTAAATATTGTATGGTACAATGCACGACTAAAAATATGAGACTTTTAGGGATTTTGATTTAAATATTAAAAAGATCAAAAAATTTAAAAAATCATTTGCTTCATAATCAAAGTATGCTGCTTATATCATGTCTACATGAGCAACCCCTCTCACCCAAACAGAAATAAACTGGAGAATAAATGAATCAACTCCTTTGCACTCAAAAAAATATAAAGTATATGGGCCTTATGAAAATGAACTTAAGAATCAAAAGCTTTTTCACTTAGTTTTGCAACAGTAAAAATAGTTCAATATAGGGGAAGTATATTTTCATTAATACACTTATTACTCCTCTATTTTTAAACTTCTTTAATTTTTTAGGAAAATAAATTTCACATATTTGCTTCCCAGGACCTAACATTGTCTTTGACCAATCTTAAACCTATTATCAATAAGGACTCCTAATGACAGGTACTGAATTTCGTGAAAAATCTCACATTACCTTTACACATATGCCTCACCAATTAAAGAACTCATTTTTTCCTTAGATTTTTTAAACTTAAAATTACCACCTTTAGTTCCTATCTATACAGAAAAGATATAGAAATATGTGTTATACTCAACTTTTCTAGATAATACATTTTTCTTATGGTAAAGGAACCAGGACTGACTGCAATAATCTCAATGTAGATGGTCTTAAAACTGGTTTGTTTACAACAGTATTCCCTTATGAAATTCAACATTTTGTTTTCAACGCAGTTATATAAACAGCTAACCTGAGTCATTACGTCCCATTTACATCTAAGGATGTCTAAAACTAAGTCTCCAAAGTAAATAAGCCTAATTCCAGGCAAAAATTTACTGAGAAGAAAAAAGTTTAGATGACAGCTATTATACAGAATTATTATTATTTTACAGACCCTAAGCAAAGTCAATAGTGTATCAAAGTTATAATTCTAAATCATTTATACTTGTTTAATATCCACAAAACCAAGAAAAAGACAATCCTCCTTCTGCTAACATCATTTAATTAGTCCTCTTCAAGGCTAATGGCCACTTCTCTAAGTGGATTGCTGCAGGATACTTTTTGGTAACCTGGAAAGGGGACAGAGTACAAGTATTGAGTTGAAGTGCTTTTCATCTGGGACAAATACCTATCTAATTATAAAAGAGGAAATTTCATCAAGCAGGAGTTGAAAATGTTTTTCATTATATGTAGGAATTTAAAGTCAAAGCTCTCCCTAATATGCATTACATAAAAGCTAAGAAATAATTCTATTTTCTGTAGTAGACCTGCATGACACACACTCAATACATAAATTCTAAGAGTTCTTTATCATCATTTTTCTCCTTTAGTACTTACACTTTTCAAAGTTCATTAAATTAAGAGATAGTCGGCAACACTTTTTTTTTTACAATGAACAACTGAGTGACAAATTACTAAATGTTTTCATTATGTTTCCAATTCTCAACAGTGAGAATTAGACCAAAAAGACTGCCCTTTTACAATGAAGAAAGTTGTAATCAAAAGAAAATACTTCCAAGGGACACACAAAATCCATGCTGAAACAAAAAGCTGAGAAGAAAATTCAAGATGACAAGTTATTTACCAGGCAACATAATAGCTGAAAATAATGAGGAGAAGAGCCTCAAAAATTACTTTAAAAGCCAGTTAACACTGCTACATTGTTGGAATTTATAATAAATGGGCTGCAAATGGTATGAATGTATCAGAAAGATGCAGAATCACTAAAGATATTATTTCTCCTTTACTCAAATTATTAAACACAGAAAGTACACCCTATAAAGGCTACACGAGCATCATTTTATAGCAGTTCTGAATAACAAAAGCCTCATGTCAAGCAACTGAAAATAGGAAAAAAAAACCTTTTGAAATGGAATGCTGATTTTCAAAACAAAATATCTCAGATAAGCAAATGAGAAATACTACATTGAGTAGCTATTGAAGATTTTGCTCACCCTCACTCTACTCAATGCTACTTATTATAGGACTCTAACAATATTAGCTTTTTATTTACTTTATAGGAAGCCTGTCTATAACATTATTCTGACAAGGCTTAGGGAGCTTCAAAGCGGCTGCTATCCATTATGACAACAAAGCAGACTGTTCTCCAATGTCACTGGCAAAATAAAGTCAAAATATCTATGAAATGATAGGGAAATTGCAGGAATTCCATATTTAATAAGAGACATTTGATGACAGAAGAAAAATATCAGATCTTGATTCCCGGAAAACTCACAAAGCCCAATTTTTATGCTAGTGACTTAAAAAAAAAATCAACCCCTTATTAGTAAATGTATCAATATTTCAGAAGTAATATATTTGCATGAAATTACCATGATCTTCATTTACATAGAATATATGGTAAGTTTAGGGTACTTAATTCTCCTTGTCTTTTCTTCATTAAGGAATTTAAGGAGGACAACAGGATCAGGACTACATTAAGAATCTGAGGTCAAGTAATAGAAACAGAAATCTTTAATACTAAACAAGATCCTAACCTACAAAGAATGCTCTCCCTCACCCACTTAAAAAACTAATAAAAATGTGCATTAGAAAAGAGCAAAGTACTACCCTATAATATACTCTACATCTATGTAAAGGAAAATCTACTATCATTCTATGTAAAAAAAAAATAGGTGCATCATCAATACAACTCACTTTTCTCATTAGAAGTTATCAGAAAGGACAGAAAAATGAGAAATGATGGATAGTGTATTGCAGGCAAAGTTTTATAAGCTAAAACTATCTAAGGAAAATCATTGTACAGGTACAAGTCAAATAACATGTCTATTTCTAGTCAAACCAAAATTTTACATGGGAAATTCTTTACTTATCAGAATATTATAAAGCCAAACTTTCTGAAAAACAAAACACTCCACCAACTTTGGCATTATCTCCCACCCCATTCAAAAAAATTATAATAATTAAAGAGGCTACCTGTGAATACCTTATTTCCATATTGATACTAGCAATTCTATCAGGCTAAAGAACCACTGGAAAATAACCCTATACAATATGCATAAACCCTATAAAATAATACTCTAAACAAAGCCCATGGGGTTTTTTTAAAAATAATCATATTTAAGTAGGGTTTTCAAATCCATACCTGTCAAAATGGAAGAGTAGAGATGGACAATTCTGCCAAGCAGAACTGTATCTTGACCCACCCCTTCCAAAAATAATTACTTACCCATCTACAATCTTTGCCACTTGCTTCCTTGTTATACCCTGAAGGAGAAATAGAGCCACCCAATAGAAAAGAAATAGAAGAGGACTAAGGAGCTCAAAGTCAGCTATTCTGCTTGATTTCATAATATAAGAATCTAGTGTATGAACAAATAGGGAAAGGAAGGTTTTCACACCCAGTGGTAAACCAAAAAGAGAAGGCTAAACACATTAAGTATGTTACTTATGAAGTTGTGGGCAAAATT